ACCTGAGATTCTCTCTTCCATCTCTTGTATTCTGTTGGTGATGCATGCATCACCTGTTTGCTTACTCAGATTTTCCATTTCCAGAATTCTCTTGGTTTGTGTTTTCTTTATTGCTTCTATTTCAATTTTCAGGTCTTGAATCATTTCCTTCATCTGTATGATTGTTTTTTTCTTGATTTTCTTTAAGGGACTTATTGATTTCTTCCAACTTCTTTGTCTCTTCCTCTATTTCTTTAAGGGAATTTTTCATTTCCCCTAAGGGCCTCTACCATCTTCAAAAAATTACTTTTAAGGTCATTTTTTTTTCTCCAGTAGCATTAGAATGTTCAGGTCTTCTAACCTATCCTGGAATGTTGTAGGATTACTGGGTTGTGGTGGTGCCATATTGCCTTTTCTGTTGTTGAATGTATTGTTACGCTGGCGTTTATGCATCTGGGTTTGGGATGATTATAGGTCTGGGTGTTGATTCTTGTGTTGCCTTTGTTGGAGGGGTTTTGTTTCTTTATTATCTGTTTCCTTTATTGTCTTCCGGCCTGAATGGCCAAGGGTTCTGGTGATTGGCAGGTTTTCAGGTCCAGTAGGGTGTCTCAGCTGAGGATTGTGGGGGCTTGGGTGCCTAGGTTCAGTGTATCATCATCCTGTTCTTCTTACTGGTGTGGGCCACACCTATGCCTACGGAATCTGCCGGAGTTTCATGGGGAGGAGGAGGAGGAGGTGGGTGGGGTAGGGCAGCAGCGTGGGTCTTGAGGGGACAGAATCCAGTGGGTGGCACTGGCGGTGGTGCAGCCTGCAGGTGGATCTGCACCAGAGCAGTGGAGTTCCCCCAGAGTTGGGGGCAGGGCCCAGCTGCCTTGCTAGTGCTGAGATGGGAGGGGGAGGGGCATGGCATGTGCCCTGTGGCTTAGGGTCTGGAGGTTGAGGCAGTTCAGCTGGGAGGCCAGTCACTCACCTGTTCTCCCAACTGGTGTGGGCTGTACCTGTGCCTCTGGAGTCTGCTGGAGCTGTGGGGGAAGGGCTGGCCATGGGGAGGAGGATGAGGTGGGTGAGGTCAGGTGGCAGAGTGGGTCTTGGGGGGGACAGAATCCAGTAGGTGGTGGCAGTGGGGGTGCAGCCTGCAGGCGGGTCTCTCACCTGCTAGCCAGCTGGTGGGGACTGCCAAGGGCCTGGTTCTTAAGAGCTGGTGGTCTTTCTTGGGTCTCTGACATCTAAGGCTCTAAGGAAGCCTCGCCCATCTTTACCTCCTGGGCTGACTACTAGGCTGCCCTTTGGTGCAGACGGCAGGGCTGCCCCCTTTGCTTGTTCACTTAAGACACAGCACATTCAGTGGGGATTCAATGTCTCGGGTGGGAATTTCACGGGTGGCAGTCCTGTCATTAGCCACCGGAGGGCCACCTGCTAGTGGGTGTGTAATGCAGGATCACAATGCCCTCCTCACTTCACTTCTGATCATGATGCCACTATTGCAGTGAGCAGAGGGTTCCTGTCCTGGACTGTCCTGAGGGTGCAAGGGGTGGGTCTAGGATACAAGTGCAAACTGACCTCTGAGGCTTCCTTGGGACCCCACTTCCTTCTCACAAGGCCCTGAGCCTTTCTAATGCTCTTGTCCAGTCCTTGAGAGCTACCATCTGTTAGCAAGAAAGGGACTGCGTGTCCTGGACGCTCCTGGAGGCCTGCCATCCGTCCCACCCCTCTGTCACACACAGCACTGCATTGAGCCCTCCCCTGCCTCAGACCAGGCTCAGTCTCAGGCCAAGTGAGGCTCCATCTCTATGTGAAGAAATCAGCCATATGGCTGACTTGCCAGAGCCCTGACTTCCCCAGTGTCAAAATGGGTAAACTTTCATGGGTTGTGAAAATTAGAGAACCCCACTCCAGGGCTCTTCTGTTCACCCATTCCCTCCTCTCAAGCTTTCTCCTTGTTCCTGTGTGGTACCCCTTGGTGACAGATGAGAATTCAGGACAGGACTGGCCTTATCCTCCCTCCTTCATCCTCTTACTGAGTAGGCCAGGATGGAACTCAGGAAGAGAGCAGGTACCTGATGTATCCAGAGCTGGAGTCAGGCCCAGGGTAGTCCACCCCCCCTTCCCACCCTCTAACCTAACCCGTAACCCTCCAGCCCCTACACACAGCACTATGGCCAAGGGACACTCACTTGATCTTTTCCTTCCTTCATTCTGGGGTCTTGTTCTCTTTCTTGTCCAGCTCGTCTCCTATGCAGTTCCAAGGTGGAGAGAAGACAGCTGGCTATAACGCCAGCCCCTCAGCCCTGTGCTCGGGGCTCCATCTGTGGGTGGTCTGAGGTTAACAGAGGGGCCTTCCTTTACATTTCTCCTTGGTCCAGCTGCCCCCGCCCCAGCACCCGCCAGCAGATACGTCAATAAGAACACCAGTTGGCTATCCCTGGTACCAGTCAGGGTTTCTTAGACAGACCAATAGGTACGTATATGTGAGGGGACGTGGGCAAGGCAGCTTACCTGACTGTGGAGGCAGAGAAGATCCGCACTAGGTTATTTGCAGGCAAGAGCCCTGGGACGTGACTTAGGTTCATGTTCACAGGGTCAGGAACCAGGGGTTTCTGGGAAAGTTCTGGAGCCCGAGGGCCAGAGGGCCTAGAGCTCCCGTGCCAGTACACAAGATGGAGAGTCCTAGCTCCTGAGAGGTCACCTTTCCTTCTACCAGAGCGAGTGGTGCCACCTATTACCAAGGACCATTATTCCCACTTGATCTACCACTCACAGGTCAGTTTCTGCTGGACCCATCTAGCATCCTTGGGTCAAAGTAAGGGCGTATCTAAAATTAAGCCCACCTCTGAAAGGCAGAGATAGGAAGTCACATTCACCAACAGGCATGCTTGGATGCTGAGAGATGCAAGTGTCCTGTCAGCCACACGGGGGCACCCTGGAGCTCAGACAAGGAAAACTTGCCCACCCACACCAAGGTGCTTCTGAGACCCTTGGTATTTTTCTTTCCCCATCATGATCTCTGCCAGAAACAGTATTTTGTCCTGTTATGACTGAACTTTGCAGACAGGGGGTACAATCTATTTTGTTTTGAAATCAGCTATTTTCCTTACATCAATTATTGCAGAGTTCCACACACCGTTTATGCGCTCGGCGGCTTTGGAATCACAGCAGTGGCGAGATGGGACAGTGTAGCCCAGTGAGCTGATTATCAGCTGCAAGTGTCTTGGATGACTGGCTGCTTTGTGATCTGCTGCAATGTGTTTTTTCATTTGAAACCTCCCTGAGGGGAGCCCTGAGCTGCCAGCAGGTACCAGAGAAGCCAAGAGTAGGGAAGGAAGGGGCTCAGCAGGCCAGCAGCCACCCTCCTGAGAGTCACCATGTCATTGTTCCATTCATCCTGTGGCCCAAATCCTTCCAACAAGGGCAGGCCTGACAGGCTCTGCTTGGCACAGTAAGCAGTGTCTGCTTTCTGTCCCCTGACAAGGGCACAAGCTGCCCATCTGCTTCCCAAGCTCCTGAGCCTACATCCTGCCTCTAGGCGAGGGGGCCCACCTAGGAGTCGCATGACTCACTGCCGGAGGTGTCTGTCCTATGCCATGGCCGGGGGGGGGGGGGGGGGGGGGGGGGGGGGGGGGCAGGCAGCTTGTTCAGTGTTGAGCCCACAACTGAGCTGAAATCCAGTCTCTTGGGTTTCTTGTAATACGAGATAATGAACATCTTTATTTGAAC